GGGGTCTGTCGGAGGTTTCTTCCGTTAAAGGGAGTTTTTCCTCCCCACTGTCACCAAGTGCTTGCTCAAGGGGGATTTGTTGGGTTTTCCCTATGTAATAATATTGATAACAGTAAGGTCTAGACCTTAGTTTGTAAAGTGTCCTGAGATGACTTTTGTTGTGATTTGGCGCTATACAAATAAAATTGATTTGATTTGATTTGATAAGGCACCCTACAGGGCAAATACTCCACAAAATGCATCCAAAACTTGATGCACCAATAACCTTCAGAATAATGACTATGATAGGAAATTGGTAAACAACATTACAGCTTATCCGAGCAAGGACAAATTATGTGCCAGCTGTTTGGGGTCTGTCACAGTGAGTTGCCATTTGTGCAAAAAAATCTTAAGCTGTAAATGTCGGTCCCTTTTTGTTTCCTGTTACCTCTTATTCAAAAATGGATTTCTAATGGTAATTACTTAGAATTTGTCTTTTTACTGTTTGTTAAAAATTGTGCTTGATTTGAAACCTTCACAAATGCTGCTTTACAGTTAAGGTCTCACCTAAAAGAAATGTTAAATTCACTTGACAATATATGAAACAATACCCAGAAATTTGAGGCACCAGCTTTAGGAAGCTTTGAGAAACAGTGAACGAGAGACGGACATGTGGGCTGGTTTGGCTATAAGAACTAAGGTAGAACAAAAAGGCTAACACCAGGCAGGGGCGGTGAAGGAGGACTGACAGTTTCCATGGATGGATGACCAGTTATACAAGACAATCTCCTCACTGGGATCCCATCTCTGTTTTCACCCTAATAAACACCTTCACAGAGTGAAGTCGATTGATTTCCCTTCAGGAGGACTTAATTTATTCAGGAATGAAGCCTGCAACGTGGCATCTTTCAGTACTGGAAATCTGTAGACACAATGTTAATATAAAAAGAAAATGTTATTTTAGCTGACGGTGCATATAGCTTCTTTTGCACATTGTCTGGTTTCTGTCCACAATGACTGTATTGCACACTTTACAGACAACGTTCACAACAGTTATGTGTGAAACCGATGAACGATTTATTTGTGAACTACTATGAAAAATGTCTTTTCTCAGCCAAACTGAGTATATTTAATGATTTAACATTCTGAGCAACATTGCACAATATTCCCTGCTTAAAGTGACACTGTAAACATTTAACTTAGCAATCATATCTGTAGGATGTTCTTAAATCCCCACTGCATTCTGTATGTATTTCAGATTCAGATGAAGTATCTATACAGCTGGGAACTCTCAAGTCATCTAAATAGAACTATTAAAGTTGTGGACATCTAAAATATAGCTTTAACATCTGGGTGATTTGTCATGACACATTTTTAACCAATCATTCACAACACTTTAAAAATGTATTCTGGTCATTTATGGGAACATTTAGAAGGTGTCTGAAATTTGGC